TCGGGGGGGGGGGGGGCCCGCCCCCCGCCCCGACACCCCCTCGGGAAGGGGTTCCCTGTTCGTCCCACAGCCCCAGGGCCGCCAGGCATCCCTCCTCGGTCACCAGTGCACCCCCGAAACTGCTCCGTCTCCCTCCAGAGTGCAGAGGCACCTCCTGGGGGCCATCCCACCCCAGCTCCATCAGATGGCCCGGCACCCACAGCCTGGTTTCCCCCATTCCCTGCCACCGCTGCTGACAGTGGTACCGTGGCCGGCACACGGATACGGCCCGTCGTGTGAATTCAGCCCCCACCCCTGCACCTCTTGCTTCCCTCCCATCCCTGTTCCGTTCTTCGCCCGATCCCCTTGCATCCTCCCCCGGCTCCTGCGCGTTGTCCCCCACACGCCCCTGGCGTGGGTGCGCTCTTCCCCCGCAGCGTAAGCAGTTCCTGCTGTCTGCTGCCTTCACCCCGCACCGCCCGGCTCAGCCAGGCAAGCGCCTGCACGGGGAGTAACCATCCCCTGTTGCACCAGGTACAGCTCAGAGCAAGGGCTGGGAAAAATCCCTGGACACCCCTTCGGCCCCTAAGGAGGAGCAAGTTTCTTGTGTGTATGAGAGGTTTTATTGAACAAATGAAATTCCTCACTGCTGTGCAGCTCCCGGCTATCGCACTGCAGCTCCCGAGTTTTTCTCTTTGAACGCGTGCCCTGGGCTGCCCGGGCAGCCTCCCTGTAAGCTTTCCTTCGCAGGACTTCTTCTGCCTTCAGGCAGTGGGACCAGCAAGGCTCCCTCCAGCCCACGGGTGCCTTACAGCCCAAGCCGTTCATCACAGTGGTTTAAAGAGCATCACTTTGATTCACGATTTAAATCAGCAAGCAGGAAGCCTTAGCTCCATGATTGATTTTTCATCTCTGTTGCATTTGTGCTTTTTACCTTTCGTTGTTAAAGAAAAGCTCACTCCGCTGGATGGTGTAGTCATCCGGCCTCAGTGGCTCGCAGGCGGGCATGGCCTTTACTCTGAATTTGATAATTCTCCTTTGATATCCAGGAGGACACAGTGTGCCTATCCCATTTATTTTAGCAATAACTCACATGTATTGAGATAGGCTGTTTTTTATAGATTTGTTATGTTACAGTGAATGCCAACTATTTCTAGTGATAAGTTTTTTTCCTTGGCATGTGTGTCAGTCTGCATTGAGATAAAAAGTGGAATTTCACTTGAAATATATAAATCCCGCATCTTTATTACTTATCAGTTAACTTCAGCAACCTTGAATATGAACACAACCACAACAGGGGAAAAGATTGTAAAAACACTAACTGACATATTAAAGAGGAGAGTGGGTTTTTTGCAGTGAGTGAATTACAGATTGCTGCTGCTCAGCAGGAGCCAGATTTTTTGGCAGTGTGATAGTGCAGATAGATGGGCGCCTGCCCCACGGGAGTGATTTGGGCTATTTTATTAAGAGTTATGTCTCTGCATCTCTGGAGCCTAAACACTGTTGAAAATCCAGCCCCACATCCTTCAGAAATTTAATCCTGTCTGGTTTGTACTTGGAAAGAGGGAGAAGAAGTCATGCTTTCCTCTGTTTGCAACTGGCATTTGGAATCTCACTTTCAAATGATGAGATCCAAGCGAGGGACTTAGTATCTTGGCATCTGTCAGAAGGCAAAAGCAGCCAAGGCAGAGTCTTCTCTGCACACCAGGAATTCAGAGAAACTTGGGGAAGGATGAGTACAAATTTTAGCTCCACTGGGAGAAAGAAAAATGTCAGCAGTCCCGCCAGTGGTGCCAATGGGGGCTCCGGGTCCTGCCTTTCCCTGTAGCCAACCGCCCTGCTGCTGTGGGGTGCCTGGTCTCACCTCCAGATAAACGGTCTGTGGGCAGAGGCAGGCAGGCAGGCAGGAGAGCTGTGTGCGGGGCTGGGTGTGCTCCATCCCCCCAGGTCAGGATTGTTGTACCCACTGCTTTTTGGATCTGTGGGTGTTGACAGCTCTGTCTGTGCCACCGATAGCGGCTGCGGCATGTGCTGGTGTGACACACTTTAAACCTAGGCTGACCTCCAAAGAGAGAGGCTCCTTGCCCATGCTGCTCATGTTAAACTCCTTGAGCAAGTGTAACTGGAGGATGTCTCAGTGATCCAGTGTATCTCCCCCCACCCCTTATTGAATTGATTTTAGTAGGCTGTGAGTAATAAATATATTCAGCAAAAAGCAGGATGAATGAACCCCATTTTAAAGTGCATAGTGTGCTCTCCCGCCATGTCTGGGATGCTGGTCTGTGGGGGAAGTACCTGAGCATCCTGGCACCCCGGGAAGAAAGCAAACACCCCAGGGGGCCTGGGGACCAAGCAAAGGGCTGCCACCGTCCCCGCAGTGGTGCTGGTGTGATGCCCACAATGAACTTTGCCTGCTTCTTGCAGCAGGAGGGGATTTGAAGGGGGCTGTCTCACCTGGAGCATCACTTTCTCCTGCCGCAAGGGCAGGGCACCTTTTGCCTGTCCTCCCCGTGGCCCCGGACTCCTTCTTGTGTCCTCCCTCCCCTAACCAGCTCTCCTCGCCCTTGTTTCAGGGCTGCCTGAGGATGCGTTGCCCCTCGACCCAGCCATCACCTCAGGGGTGCCGGGAACCCGCCTCGCCATCCCCGTGCCGCCCTGCCAGGCTCCGGACCTGACGCTTCCGTGCCCTCTCCCGGCGGGATGGCCCAGGCGGGGGGCCCTGTCCACTTCCACCCCGAGGAGGCCTGCGCCACCTCGCCCCTGCCGTTCGTCCGCGGGGTGGACCGGAGGCCCTGGCTGGGGGGGGGGGGCCCCGGGGCTGGGGGACGCAGGCCCCCGCCCGGCC